TGTTACTTAACATAGTACTGGAAGTCCTAGCCACAGCAATCAGACACAAGAAAGAAAAAGGCATCCAAATAAGCAAGGAAGCAGTCAAATTTTCACTATTCGCAGATGATGTGATATTCTACATAGAAAACCCTAAAAACTCCACTAAGAAACTACTAGATCTGATAAATGAATTTAGTGAGGTCACAGGATACAAAATCAATGTATAGAGATCTAATGCCGAAGAGGTTACTGCCTATGTTCTCCTCTAGGATTTTGATGGATTCCTGTCTCATGTTGACACCTTTCATCCATTGTGAGTCTGTCTTTGTGTATGGTATAAGAGAATGGTCGAGTTTCATTCTTCTATACATAGCTGTCCAATTTTCCCACCACCATTTATTGGAGAGACTGTCTTTTTTCTGCTGGATATTTTTTTCCTGCTTTGTCAAAGATTATTTGACCATAGAGTTGAGGGTCCATATCTGGTGTCTCTACCCTGTTCCATTAGTCTATGTGTCTGTTTTTTTTGCTAGTACCATGATGTCTTGGTGATCACAGCTTTGTAGTAAAGCTTGAAATCAGGCAACATGATGCCCCCAGCTTTATTTTTCTTCTTCAACATTTTCTTAGCAATTTGGGGTCTCTTCTGGTTCCATACAAATTTTAGGATTGTTTGTTCCAGCACTTTGAGAAATGCCAGTGGAATTTTCATCGGGATGGCATCGAAGGTATAGATTGCTCTGGGCAGTATAGACGTTTTAACAATGTTTATTCTTCCAATCCATGAACATGGAATGTTTTTCCATTCTTTGTGTCTTCTTTGAATTCTTTCATGGTGTTTTGTAGCTCCTCCTTTACCTCTTTGGTTAGGTTTATTCCCAGGTATCTTATGGTTCTTGATGCTATAGTAAATGGAATCCATTCTCTAATTTCCCTTTCTATATTTTCATTGTTAGTGTATAAGAAAGCAACTGATTTCTATGCATTGATTTTGTATCCTGCCACATTACTGCCACACTCATTGCTTTATGAGTTCTAGTAGTTTGGGAGTGGTTTCTTTTGGGTTTTCCATATAAAGTACCATGTCATCAGCGAAGAGAGAGTTTGACTTCTTCTTTGCCAAATTGAATACCTTTTATTTCTTTTGTTGTCTGATTGCTGTTGCTAGGACTTCTAGTAGTATGTTGAACAACAGTGGCGAGAGTAGGGATCCTTGTCATGTTCCTGATCTCAAAGGGAAGACTGTCAGCTTTTCCCCATTGAGAATGATATTCACTGTGGGGTTTTCATAGATGGATTTTATGAAGCTGAGGAATCTTCCCTCTATCCCTATACTTTGAAGCATTTTAATCAGGAAAGAGTGCTATATTTTGTCATTTTGGGACTTCATCAAGATAAAAAGCTTCTGCACAGAAAAGGAAACAGTCAGCAAAACAGAGGCAACCCACAGAATGGGAGAAGATGTTTGCGAATGACACTACAGACAAAGGGCTGATATCCAAGATCTATAAAGAACTCCTCAAATTCAACACACACAGAATAGATAATCATGTCAAAAAATGGGCAGAAGACATGAACAGACACTTCTCCAAAGAAGACATAAAAATGGCTAGCAGACACATGAAAATATGTTCACCATCATTAGCCATCAGGGAAATTTAAATCAAAACCACACTGAGATACCACCTTACACCAGTTAGAATGGCAAAGATTAACAAGACAGGAAGCAACAACTGTTGGAGAGGATGTGGAGGAAGGGGAACCCTCTTACACTGTTTGTGGGAATACAAGCTGGTGCAGCCACTTTGGAAAACAGTGGAGATTCCTTAAGAAATTAAAAATAGAGCTACCCTATGACCCTGCAATTGCATTACTGGGTATTTACCCCAACGATACAGATGTAGTGAAAAGAAGGGCCATCTGTACCCCCATGTTCATAGCAGCAATAGCCACAGTCACCAAACTGTGGAAAGAACCAAGATGCCCTTCAACAGACGACTGGATAAAGAAGATATGGTCTACGTATACAATGGAATATAACACAGCTATCAGAAAGGATGAATACTCAACTTTTGTATCAACATGGATGGGACTGGAGGAGATTATGTTGAGTGAAATAAGTCAAGCAGTGAAAGTCAATTATCATATGGTTTCACTTACTTGTGGAACATAAGGAATAACATGGAGGTTATTAGGAGAAGGAAAGGAAAAGTGAAGTGGGGAAAATCGGAGGGGGAGATGAACCATAAGAGACTGTGGACTCTGAGAAACAAACTGAGGGTTTTGGAGGAGAGGGGGATGGGGGGTTAGGTGAGCCCTTGGTGGGTATTATGGAGGGCACATATTGCATGGAGTACTGGGTGTGGTACATAAACAATGAATCTTGGAACACTGAAAAAATAAAATTAAATTTAAAAAAAAGAAATCTAATGCATTTCCATATACAAATAATGAAGTAGCAGAAAGAGAAATTAAGAAAACAATCCCATTTACGATTGCACCAAAGATAATGAAATACCTAGAAATTAACTTAACCAAGGTAGTGAAAGACCTGTGTTCTGAAAACTGTAAAACAATGACGAAAGAAATTGAAGATAACTCAAAGAAAGGGAATGACAGTCCATGTTCATGGACTGAGAGAACAAATATTGTTAAAATGTCCATGCTACACAGAGCAATCTACAGATTTAATGCAATCCCTATCAAAATACCAACACCATTTTTCACAGAACTAGAAAAAACAACCAATCGAATTTGTATGGAACCACAAAATACCCTGAATGGGCAAAACAATTGAAAAAGAAGAATGAAACTGGAGGTATCACAATCCTAGATTTTAAGATATACTACAAAGCTGTCATAATCAAAACTGTATGGTACTGGCAAACAACAGACACATAGATCAATGGAATGAAATAGAAAATTCAGAAATAAACCCACAATTATATAGTCAATTAAACTTCGGCAAAGGAGGAAAGAAGATGTAATGGGAAAACGACAGTCTCTTCAACAAATGGTGTTTGGAAAACTGACTACAGGCAAAAGAATGAAACTGGACCACTTTTTACACCATACACAAAAATAAATTCAAAATGGATTAAGGACATAAATGTGAGACTTGAAAGCACTAAAATCATAGAAGAGAGCACAGGCAATAATTTCTCTGAAATAAGCCATAAGTCATTTTTTCTAGCTATGTCTCTTGAGGTAAGGGAAACAAAAGCAAAATATAAATTACTGGGACTACATCAAACATCAAAATAAAAAGCCTTTGCACAGTGAAAGAAACAGTCAACAAACTAAAAGGCTACCTAATGAATGGGAGAGAATATTTGCAAATGACATATCTGATGAAGGGTTAACACCCAAAATATATAAAGCTTATATAAATCAACACCCAAAAAATAAATAATCCAATTGAAAAATGGTCAGAAGATAAGAAAAAACATTTCTTCAAAAATACACAGATGGCCAAGAGACACATGAAAAGATGCTCAACATCACTTAACATCAGGGAAATGCAGATCAAAACCACAAGATATTATCTCATACCTGTTAGAATGACTAAAATTAAAAACACTAGAAACAGCAAGTATTGGCCAGGATGTGGAAAAACAAGGAAACCTCTTGCCCTATTGGTGGGAATGCCAACTGGTATAACTACTGTGAAAGACAGTAGGGAGGTTCCTCAAAAAATTAAAAATAGAACTACTGTATGATCCAGTAATTCCACTACAAGGTATTCACTCTAGAAATATGAAAACAGTAATTCAAAAAGGTATATGCACCCCTGTTTATTGTAGCATTACTTACAATAGCCAAATTATGGAAGCAGCTCAAGTGTCCATCAATAGACAAATGGATAATGAAGATCTGATACACACACACACACACACACACACACACACACACAGAAATATTACTCAGCCATAAAAAAGAAAGAAATCTTACTTTGCAGCAACAAGGATGAATCTAGAGTATAATGCTAAGTGAAATAAGTGAGTCAGAGAAAGACAAATACCATATAATTTCACTCATATGTACAATTTAGGAAACACAACAAAGAAAAAAAGACAAACCAAAAAACAAAACAAAACAAAACAAAAACACCCAGAATCTTAACAATAGAGAGCATACTGATGGTTACCAGAGTAGAGGGAGGTGAAATAGGTGAAGGGGATTAAGATTACATGATGAGCCTTGAGTAATGTGTTGAATTTTTGAATCACTATATTGTATAGCATAAACTGATATAACACTTAATGTTAACCATAATGGAATTAAAATTTTGAATAAAAATGTAAAAAAAAAGTTCTCAACTTCAGAAATAATTTTAAAAGCACAAAATGTGCATAAAATAACATAGATACAATTTAAAATATTAAAAAAACATGTAGAATAATGGTTTAACAGCTTGTCTATGTAAAATAAAATTTGGAATACTGCCAAGTTGAAAAAAACAGTTGCCTAACAAATGAAAATGTTCAAGCTCTTAAAGTCACCAACTTCGACCTTTTGGTTTTTTAAAATAGAATTCGTTTAAACCACACACACGCACAAGCGCACACACACTGGCTTAACCAAAAACACATTTAAAAGTTTAAAACCAGACATAGAGTTCATTTAGGCAGAATTTGGGAAGATCTGATAACTTTAGAAAACATTAGAAAAATGCAAGCTATTGTATCAAACTGCATATTGGATACTTTTTTTTTTTTTCATATTGGATACTTTTAATTTGAACAGCTTTCCCCTAGAGTTCTGGTTGTATTAGTTTATTGCCTTTCTGAGAGACCAATATCATTACAGCTTGCCGATAATGAAATATGGATTTTCTTACTGTTTATTTAAAATAAGTGTACAAGGATAACGAAGGGAGTTATCTTTCCCAAATTCTCTTTATTAGTAGAGAATGATTTTTATTTGAGAAAAGTGGACCAAACACACACACAAAAGAAACATAAGTAGCTATGATATTTATTATATACTTCTTAATTTTTAAAAAATGCTCTTTTTACCTCACATGGTCCCGAGGCAATGTTTTCAGCTCCAGCACATATTTCAGATTCATTCAGAGTCACCTTCCCTTGATGGTATTGGCTGCATTTCTCATTTCCCATAATATAGAGATGTGCTACTCGTAACAGACCATCAAAGCTGATGGCTAGAATGGGATAAAAAATGTACAGTTAGAATTGTTTTAAATAAAATAAGTATGATATTGCCTTATCCTTTTAAAAATAGCTTACATCCAGTATACCCCCAGCCATAAACACTGCAAGTGGTTTTTTCAGGAATGGTGCATCCATAATTAGGTAAATCGATTGTACTAACAAAATCATCCAGGACAGCAGGCCTGAAAATAGAAAATACAATGGTAAATATCTTTGATTGAATTCAACACAAGATTAACAAATTAAAATTTGGTGTTAATTTTTAATATGAGATTAAGAGAGAATAAACAGTCTTATTTCTTAAGAAAAAGAGAATGTCTAATATACAATGTATGTAGTAGAGGTAAGAGTAGGTAGCAGAGAAATGAGTCACTTCCTTGCTAATATTACTTGCTAAATGGTAACTGCATTTTTTATTCATTATTTTAACTATTAAAGTTATCAAATGATTATTCACTAAGTTTTGATTTTAGAGCAGGCTGATCAGACTGTTGGTCAAACTTCATTTATTAATTTTTGAAAATTTTGAAGATGACTCTCTTTTTCTCTATACACACACACACACACACAGGACATATGACAAGCTTTTATAATATGTTTACATAAAAGAGAGAATAGCCACATAGCTGAAGAAAAAGCTTCACGAATTCCACTGTAGCTTAAAAATGCAAAACAGTCTCAAGCAACTAACCTAGCAAGCTTCAGTAATACCAGATCTGATCCTTCAGGCCCGTATACCAGCTGGGAAACATTTAGAACCTGTTTGCGTTTCTCATCTCCTTTTCCATGGACATCATGAATCCCAAGCCAAGCTTCATAATCTTTCAAGTCTTTGTTTCTAAGTAAAAAATTAAAATGTAAAATATAATTTTAAACTGGGTGATATTGTTCACACATATTATTATTTCAGTTTATAAGGGCAGATAAATAACCTAAATTTAAAATTTGAATCAAAGCATAATAAAGAGCAACACATTTGTTATGGAGATTCTGAATGCTACAAGCACACAGAAGCAAAAAGAGCCTTTAAACTGCTCAATTTTGAAACAGCTATTTAAGAAAAAAGAAAACCTTTTGATTAGGCTTAAGAGTAAATCATATTTGAAAAATTTTCAGGTAAAGCACATTACATGAATTATAATTTTCTGCAGATTTTCCTTCTTAACTTGGTATATGTTTGATTTGTCAATTAGGATTAAAAATTTATACTAACAAAATCAGTGACCTTGATGAGAATCAGGAAGTGAGCTAACAAATGCTCCCTCCCTAACTTTCCTTAGGCTAATTCTCATTAAAAATTATTCCCAGGATGTCTGCCTACCCATACAGCATGCAAGGAAGAAGTTGAGGAAAAGTTATTTACATAATTCTAGCAAAATTAACCCCCAAATGAGAGTAATGCCAATTGTGGAAAGAATGGAGCAGGAGTATCCAGTCGTAAATATCCATTACATCAAAGGAGGCTTTGTAAACTAAATCTAAAGAAAGAAATTAATTTATTCATCCCTTGTGGCTGAATCTGTTACATGAATACACATTCTAAGCCTGAAAGCTAAATGGAAGCCCGACATATTTTTAAGTGCTCAAAACAAATATTGGTTTCAGAAACACTTACCGAGAAGGGAAACATTGTCTTGCGGTAAGAATCCAACTTTCCTTTATCAATGATCCTCCACAGATATGTTTATTTCTATGAGAAACAGAAAAGAGAAACAAGTAACATCTGTGTGGAAAGGGTGCCTGCCAATTAATGCAAAACCTATGGCTCTGTTTGTTAAAAAATAAGTGCATTTGGGAGAAAAATGTAGAAATTAACTCAACTAGAATAAAGTGAGTAATCCTTTGACTGAAAGGATGATATTTGTGATTGTAGCATTAGCATTTTTTTATAATGTGATTACGATTTTAGGAAATCAACTTTATTTTTGTATAAGGAGCCCTGTCACTACACACCAACATCCATTTCCAACACGCACGTTCACATGTGTGTGTCTCTATCCTTGGGAGAGCAAGTATGTACTACAAAAATAGAATAGTTAGGGGTGCCTGGGTGGCTCAGTTGGTTAAGCAACTGCCTTCGGCTCAGGTCATGATCCTGGAGTCCTGGGATCGAGTCCCACATCGGACTCCCTGCTCAGTGGGGAGTCTGCTTCTCCCGCTGATCTCTCTCTCCTCTCATGCTCTCTCTCTCTCTCTCTCTCAAATAAATAAAACAAAATCATTTAAAAAAAAAATAGAATAGTTAGAATAAACAAAAAAAAATCACAAAAGAACAACAAAAACAACATGGTTTTAAATTCAGTGTCTGATTATAAAAATGCGAATCTGAGTTTTTACATAAACTATGAAAACTATCTGATGGTAGCAATACATATTTATACACTATTCCCTTCTTAATTACCATTATTTATTTTTGATACATTAACTTAGAACATCGCTGAGTTTGAGTAAATTTGTTCAGCTTAAAAGAAGCAATATAAAATTTCGTTTATAAAATTAAAGCAATTTTGTAAATGTATCATCTAGGAAATTATAAAATATTTGTAGAGAATATAAAATACTAGTACATTTGTTTGATCATATCCTAAATCTGTAGATGTATTATTTTTTGGCAGAGAAATGGAAAAAGCACAACTTTTCACAATTTTACATTTCCAAAGAGTACAGATGTTCAGTGCTTCAGAGGGTAATAGAAGTTTCCCAGACTAAGACCACAATTATTTACGGCCTGTACCACAGAGGAGGATGAGATTATATATCGAGTTTTAATTTCTGTTCCTCTCAGTAAGTGTTTTGGAAGAATAACTAACCAGCTGTTTTTACTGAGGACTTGGATTTAAAAGAAAAATATACTTATCTAAAAGTTTATACTACTCTAATCTGATGTAAAAGAGTTTCACCTGCTCCTCAAAGGATGGAGACTTCCAAAGGAGTATTCTTATACATTCTCCCGTGGGTAATAAAAAATTTAGAAGTATATGCTTTTTTTTTTTTTTTCCCTAGAGTCATGAGATTTGCAAAGAATCACTTATTCATTCAGATATATGGATTCCTGGAACATTTTCTTTCACAAATAAAATGAAACACTCTTCCCCCAAAGTTGGCAGCTTTCATTAAATCTTTATATTTCATAACTGGCTGTAATATTCTGGTGAGTTTCACAATTCTGTTTCAGTACTACACACCTAGGACAGCTACACCATAATTACCGACATAAATATTTGTAAAATTTGATGGGTTTCTCCTTGCAAGAAGCATATATTAAAAGAAGTTTAGACCATCTTCTACCTGGTGTCTAAAGTCTTATGTATGTTTATATAAAAGGATATAAACTCCGTGCTTCTTAAGAATTGGCTTATTCATAAAATCCAAAATTTCAAGTTGTCTTTATTCTAAAGGTCACTGTGGAGTTTAATTGTAGCAAAAGATGTACTTTCTTTCTCTACTCTAGGAAGTTAGAGGTAAAGGAACAAAAAGGGTCACCAAATAGAGCAGATATTTGAGTTAGTATTTGAAGAATGAGAAGGCTTTTGCAGGCACAAAATATGGAGAAAGAAAGCTACAACATTTAGTGGGAACAATAGCTTAAAGGTTTGGAGGGAAAAACATGGGGTATCTTTAAAACAAGGGATAATGTGGTTTGAATTCAGGTGTATTTGGGGTTAAGTTGTATGATGAGTTTGCAGTAGAGACAGAAACAAAGATACTTTAACATTCTGATTACTATATGGCGTAATATATGTAGTATATAGGAATTTGTAAGATCAGATTTTAACTTAACTCCTATTTTCAATATTTAATTCTTCAAACATAATTACTAATCTTAATTTTTGTATAGGAATATATTGTGCAAAGTGATATTACTGAGAACATATCTTTGATTCTCAAGAGCATTGAGACATAGACAACGAGAATTTTTTTATCCATACTGAACAGTATAATAGCAGGGCTAGTCAACTATCAATATAGGTTGATATACCATACTATCAGTATAGCATGTCATTTTTTAAAAAATGATAAAATATTCTAGAACTTAAAATTATTGTTATTTTCATTTGAATTACAATGAAAAAATAGAAATTAAAAGCAAATGTAAAATTTCTGGTACGATTATGCATGAGTGTGTTAGAAAGTCAAGTCATAATATCCTAGATTAGGAGAAATAATTACATGTGTATTACAACTATTACAGTGATATTAAGGTATAAGTAGTTTCTCTGTGTAGTTGTGTTTTCTCAAACACTCTGAAGCATCACTTGTAATCAGAGACAGTGTCATCACATATGGGACCTCATGAACATTTAAAAAGGCACTATCTCTGAAGGCACATATTGTAAAATCCAGGGATGTTCAGCAAGCAGAATGTGGTCAGTCTCTTCTTGTGTCCCACTCAAATGGGTGCTTACAACCATCTTGTTGGAAATATGACTTTTGCAAATAATCCAAACACATACGATTTGTGTCTATTAATAATTACCTGTATTTCAAACTAACCATCCATCCTACATTAGTTCGCGTTGGAATTCCATTTACAACTCGTAATTGCTTTGTTTTGGCACAAGATATTACAGGATCTAAAAAGAGGACCAAAGATAAATAACATTTTAATAAAACATTTTGAAATAATCAATGCCTCTCAGTTTCTTAAAAGCAATGGTAATTAAAGAAATGTAACTACTGTAATTTTGTCAGTACATTTGGGGGGAAAGAAGGTAAGTATTAAGACTGGAGTGTCAAAGCAGGCCTAAAATGTTTGCTATGCTTATCTAAGGAGACAAGCAACATAGAAAAATGAATTAACTCTAGGTATTTCCACAGTGACAATGATTTTGCTCACCAAGCACTGAGTATAGGCTCTTCAAGACTAACACTAATTGTATTTCTTTCACAAATCTCAATATAAAATGAAACAATTGTATTTACAACAGTTATTTCTAAATGTCAGTGGAAATCAATAGTCTCAATAAAAAAAGTATTTATTTTTTTATTACTCCTGAATTTTTATGTTAAGAATATAGAGCCATTTTGAAACAGCTTACCAACATTGTATTTACTGAAATTATATCCAGATGACATAATTGTTATGTCCAAATCATTATATCCAAATGACACAATACCAAATTCTTTGGAGTCAACTTTTTCCTGACCCTCCTCCATATTCCTTGCCTTATCCTTTCTACTCCTGTGCATGGTCTAAAATTTCCATTTGTTTCTTCAGCCTGGGACACAGGAGGTGGTCTCTTAAGTCAAAACACTTGAGTATCTGCCTTCGGCTCAAGAAGTATGTGAAAATCAAAAACAAGCAGCTCCAAAGATTTTCTTAAATTGAGGATTCACTGAACCTCTCAGTTTGTATCATCTTTTACCTAGTGGATCATTTAAAGAGCCTTAAAGATAAAGTAGGATAGACACCCTAAATAATTTTCCGACCTTCTGATTTTATTCTTTCTAACTTTAGCATCCTGATTTAATTTAAAGGATGGTGAAAATCCATTACATACATTTTGTCCAAAATGACAAACAAGAGAAATGCTCTTTTCAAAGTTAAATATAACATCCTATATTTTCTGAGAATTGAATTTTGATATTCAGTATGTAGTTGCCTTTGTAACCTCTTTTACAGAAAAATTAATAAAAACAAATAGATTAACTTATTTTTAGGATAGAAGTTAATATAGTGCAATTTTTCCATGAAGAAAATTATGACATCATTTCTGACACATAGAGAGTCAAATAAACTATAATTTTAAAAGATTACTTACGGTCTAAATTGACTATTGTAGGTGTGGTATCACCTTCACCTATAAAAATAAATTTATACACATATATGTTTCTGTTATATAGAGACATACATATACATACATGTAAATACACAAACATACATATTTCTGTTATATAGAACCAAAACTATATATTGAAATGCAGATGTTTGCTTGGGTCATTTGTACAGATTTACTGTAATTTGGGCACCTTTTATTTTTTCTGAAAATTACTTTTATTTTTTAATATGGTTGAAGATAATTGAAACATCATGTTTCAGAAAACTCTTCAAGAATTCTAGAAGGTAGAAATCAATGTCACTAATGGAAAAAGAGGCATAACAAAATATAATTATGTTTCATTAGAATATTTAAAAGATTGTTTTTTCCATACTGTAATAACAATGTATGAAAAAGGAGAACTAAAACCTCATAACTTACTACTTTTTCATAACCTCCCTACTGGGGTTTAATGGCTGCAAAGAGAAAAGCTTGGAAGATGCTAGGATTAGAAAATACTTATGCAATAATGAATGAGGCATAGGACATTTCCTGTAGTTTAATGTCTGTCTGTTCAGAATTGATGGTATAGAGTTTAGTCAGGCACTGTTTAGACCCAGCTGGTTGTTAATCCCTGGAAATGCCCTGAGCTCAAATAAACCAGCAACAAAACAATAATGGCATATGGATTCATTTGTAATACATGCAAATTTGATTGTTATTTATGGGGAATCTCATGAGAATTAATACATGCGAAAGAGCTTTTATTTATGTTCACCTTCCAGATCTAGATATTTTAAATGAATAAATGTAAAGGAAAACATATAAATTTCATCATTTCCCTTTCCCTTTAGCGTAGCCTGGGGGAGGGTTCTGTCTTAGAGTCAGCAGAGGTCAGTGTTTCAGCTCATACTACAAATTAGGATTGAGGCCAACTATGGTCATTAAAACATCAAGGATATTGGTTTTTCCATTCAAATCAATTACTTAAAATTCTAATATTAAAAACTAGATATTTATTCCTTCTGGTATTGTGATGAAGAAGACTAGACTTCTCCTTAATTGTATATCAGGTTTTCTATTTCTAAACATCAAATTAATAGGTCAACAAAATATTTCATTATTATAATTTACTACAGTATTTAAATTTAAAAAATATATAGATATTGTATATTTGGGAATTTGATAATTTATAGTTATTTTATACTTAGATATTTTTCCTTTAAACCAATATTTCTTATACTTTAGAATAAGCTGAAATATCACTTGGAATCAGATTTCTAGAGATTCTGATTTGGTGGCTAGATTATGAGTTTTTAAAAACATTTTAGGTTCTTCTTTTGCACACTTTGAGCCAAACTTTGGGAAACTGCACTCTAGGACTTTGCCATTTTACCATCAAATACTATTCTTACTTCTTTTTGCCCCACCGCAGTACTAAAATCTGAAATTTATATATCATATATATATTTATCATGTATATGTCATATATATATGATACAAATCTTCAGTATTGATTCAATTTAAATTTGAAGGGAAACATATCAATAATAAAACTTTTACCTGTAGAAGTGTAGGTAAATGTGTGTGTCTGTGTGTGTGTGTGTGGGTGGGTGTTTATATGGCCTCAGAACCAAATATGAGTTCTTACTAAAAAAAACTTCCTTTAATGTATTCTGAAAGTTTCAAACAAATTCAGAACATTATGGACATCACAAATTTCTCCAGGCAGGTATCTATGTTCCCATTTTCATTACATATTTTAATGTGAATATATATTTGTTAAATTATTATAGTTACATAAATGTCTCTACACTGAGAACTAACCAAAGGAAAAAAATATTGTTTCTATTGCTGTATATTTAGCATATTCTAATATGGGGCTTTGCACACAATAGCCACTCAATTTAAAATTATTAATAAATGAATAATAATGCAAACTGAAATGAAAGTTAAGTTGTCCAAGGCAATTACAGTGAGAGAACTGAAATTCTTAACCAGGAAGTTGAAGTTGAAGCTCTTAACCACTACACTCTAAGTATTTAATACTGAGTATTTTTCCAAGATCTACAAAGTGTGTATGTGTATAGATTAATATATAGGCATTTCTATAATTTTATTTTTACATATCTGATAATCTTTAAAATGTATGCTAAGTAATACTCTGTAAGCATTTTTTTAAAAGAAATAAAAACTTTTATATGTTTTATAATACAAATGTATAGTGTGAAAATGATTTAGACAGCCTCTACAGTTAAATAAATAAGAACTCAAATCTTCTAAAGATAAATTTTATTAGCCTTTCACCAGCAGGAAAGTGTAAATAAATCCTGGCTATAAATATTATTTAGAAAAATGACAGTATAAAAATATTTATTGAAATTAATGTTCAGAATATATTGAAATAAAAATGAGTTATCTGTAATAACATTTAATCATATGCTAGTGACACTCTGAAGTCTTCCAATAGCACATTACTAACTTTTAATTTTAAAATGTTAGTTGAAAGTATGTTTTGAAAACATTTAAATTATTAGAGTCCTTTGTCAGATTTATAAACCAAATCACAGTTTGATTCTACAAGAGCATTTTTCTGTGTCTACATGCAATAGAACTGTCTTAGAAATTGGAAGGGGAGGTGAACAATGAAAGACTATGGACTCTGAAAAACAATCTGAAGGGTTTGAAGAGGTGGGAGGGTGGGAGGTTGGGAGAACCAGGTGGTGGGTATTAGAGAGGGCACGGATTGCATGGAGCACTGGGTGTGGTACAAAAACAATGAATACTGTTATGCTGAAAATAAATAAAAAAATGATTAAAAAAAAAGAACTGTCTTAGAAGACTGACTTTTTTTCCTTCTTCCTAGACCATTGGATATTTTATTAGCCTCCATTATTCTTAATCATAGATTAAGATTCACAACTCACAAAAAGGTACCATCAGGTAAAGCTAATATTTATAAAAAACAATCATTTAATCATTAAAAAGATATATGTCCCAGAGAGGTAGTAACTTTGCTTTGTAGTGTTAAAACTAGAAATATATCTTTTAAAGAAGAACATTTTCAGGACCTATGCAAACCCTAATATGAGAAAAATAGAAAATTAGGAACACATGAATTATTGAAAGGCTATGATTACAGCTGATGGAATAAAATAATAGTATGATATGCTATTTCTTTCCAAACCTATAAGGTGTTTATTTACCATTATATAAATAACTTATTTCTTCAAAATAGGTTGGGAATTTCTGAGTCTTAATTATAGCCATACTAGATGAAGGTCATATTTAAGAAGTTTGCCTTTCTATGCTAAATTTTCATGAAACAGGACTACTGTTTCCACTTAAGGTGAGAAATTACCTCTTTAATTTGCCATAAATTATGTGTTTGTATTTCATGTTTTAAAGCAAACACCATTTCTTCAATCTAATCTTTTTAAAATCGGTACTTCTGTTCCTATTGTCTAGGTACTTGCTACTAGCTTTTCTCACACGAAAAACATTCTTTTAATTTTATTAATAAACATTCTTTTAGTTTTATTTATTTAGTTGGTTTTTAAAATTTTAATCCCAGTATAGTTAACATACAGTGTTACTATACTAGTTTCAGGTGTACAATATAGTGATTCAACAGTTGTATTCATTACTCAGTGCTCATCAAAATAAGTGTACTCCTTAATCCCCATCACCTATTTCACTCATCCTCCCCATCCACGAAGAGAAACATTCCTAAATAGGAATCCTATTGAACTTATGCAAATATGTCCTTTTTAGACAGGAGATAGTTTAACATAGTGTTTAAAGATGTTTGTTATAGGGGCACCTGGGTGATTCAGTAGTTAAGCATCTGCCTTGGGCTCAGGTCATGATCCCAGGGTGCTGGTTTTGAGCTCCACATCAGGCTGCCTGCCTTCAAGGAGCCTGCTTCTCTCTCTCCCACACCCCCTGCCTGTGTTCCCTCTCTTGATCTCTCTCTCTCTGTCAAATAAATAAATAAATAAATAAAATCTTTTAAAAAGGTATTTTTGTTATAAACACAGAGCATGAGATATGTAATCTAGTAAAATGATCTTTCGCTACTGACACAGCTTTCTAATAAGCCTTTTTCACTCAATATCATACAGAGGATATACTCCCATCTCAATATATATTATTCAGTGGTACTCATTGGGGATGACTTTGTTCCCCAGGGGGACTCTTGGCAATGTCTGAAGATAGTTTTTGGTTCTCATGACTGGAGGCAGGGGTGGTTTAATTGACACCTAGTGGGTAAAGGCCAGGGACACAACCAAATATTTCATAGTGCATAGGACAGCTTCCTACACCAAAGACTCCTGCAGTACAAAATATCAGTAGTGCCGATGTTGAAAAATCCTGAGACATTTCTCAAAATTGACTTTCAGACAAGCTTTCCAATTCACAAAGTAGCACAGTATTGAAAGATTCTGACTATCCAGAACTTCAGTAATATTGGGCATTAACTATTCTTTTCTTATTTGCCAACCTGATTGGTGAAAATGACCTTATGCTACTAAAATTTCACTTTTTCTTACTATTAAGCTTTAATGTATTTTATTTGTTTATTAATTATACTTATTCTTGAAGATTTATTTTCTTCATTTTTCTCCTAAATTATCTCATTTTTTCTTATTAATATTTAGGAGCTCTTTAAATGAGGCATATCAGATATATATATTTTATGTATCTTTTACTTTACACACTGATACTCTTTTAAAAAATCATCTTCAAAAGAAATCATCTTTGACTCAGAGATATGGATGGGATATTCTAGGCTCTTTGGTCTTTGGCTAATGCACTGAGAAGAAAGCGAAAACAACAGTATCTCAGGTCTGTCGATGGGTCTGTTACTGGGTGGGGGCTTTGTTAGAGCTCTGCTATAGCTTGAACAGTTAGTATTGGGAGGGGTGTCTTTTCTGGTGCAGTCATATTAAAATGATGGCCATTTATTGCTTCTGGATTTCAAATGAGGATCGTCTGAGGAGGAAAATCTTCTTTAAAAGGTCAGCAGAATGTCTCCTTGTCTACAGGAGAGATGAAGAAAGGGGCGCACATGCATGCGTGTGTGTGTGTGTGTGTGTGTGTGTGTGTGTGTGTTGTTGTTGTTGTTGTTGTTGTCTGGAATGCATCCCCACTTTAGGATTGATTCCAACCCTCCTATATTTCCTCCTCTGAATGAGGTATCAATTTAAAGGAGATTCAGAGTATTTAAAATATTTCACCTGAAGAAGGTCATTAAAAATACTCACAACGAGAAATAGGACAATAATCCCATGGAATGAGAGGATTTCCTGTGTAACACCAGGGACCATGGGCATCATCATCAGGATTCCGACAGTAATTCTTATTCAGCTTACTAGCATCTGGTTCCCAAAAGATATGCCTGCATAAACAACACACTCTAAACATCACAAGATGCTCACTGCGTCCAACAGAAACAAACTGTCACCAAGAAGATAAAATCCTAGCACATAACTTTCATTATAGATACAACACAAGCTTCTATTTGGTGTGAATTTTGGTTATATTATTTTAGACTTATTTTGTTGTTCTTCCAGCTTGGAAGCATATTCTCTACTCAGAATTATGAAATAAGGCTACAAAATTTGCATAGATAAAATGATGAAATATTTTGTGATTTTGCTTCTATTTAATAAGTATAGTGGCAAGGTGAAAACCAACATCCCTATGCATAGAAATGGAGAAACACTGCCAGAGAAAGAGCAGATGACAAAGAAGATCAAGGTCATAAAATACATAGAAAATGCAAGCTATTGCAAAATCATTTTTCATGTTTCAAAAACATAAAAAGCATTACTAGCAAAATCATGACAGGACAGAAAGATACACTAAAAATTAATAATAGTGTGCTAATGAAATAATTAAAATCTAAACTTTCAGTGATTATATAGTTACAATATGTGAGTTTTTGACAGTTAACTGAGTAACAGTTTCTCACTTTACATCTTAAATAAGTTTATTACAAAAGGAAAGCAAAAATACTCTTATTTTATTAGATCATGCACAGTCATAAAGTATCAGTATTTATTTTGATAAGATTAATAAAGCCAAATTCCAAATGGCCATCCTGACCAAGTCATGAAAACTACACAAGTAACTGAATTGTTTTGGATTATTAATTATGACCATGCTTGAATGTAACTAATGGGTCATTTAAAAACTGGAAAGAGCTTAGTCAGGTAAAGTTGGACTATCTTTCCAAACTCAGGTTCATTTCCTAGACCAATAACAACAGCAAACACAAATAGGACTTACTATGTGCCAGATTCTATTTTATGTGATTTACATATATAACCATAGACCAGCCTAATGAGACTGGCTCTAAGATTATGCTAATTTATATTTGATGAACTAGAAATCCACAGAAAACAATTTTTCTGAAATCACATGGCCTATAAGCAGTGGAGCAGAGGTTTGAACAAATGGCTCTTTCCAGAATCAGTGTTCAAACCACCATTCTGTACAATGTCCTTACCCAATTGCAGTTTATTCTTAAACCAAAATGGTACCATGAGACTTAACCATTCATCAATTCACTGCAAATTGTTTTCAAATGACTTTCAACTATTTCCGAATGTCCAACCCAAATTCCATGAATTAAGAGTTATAACTATGAGTTCCCTAAATAAATATGTAATGTATTTCCAATTGTATGTTGATAATGTTTAAAAGGGGACTCTGAGATGTTTAAGAAATCTTTATTTGTTGTCCTTACTAATTTGTGAGGTGTAAATTCTTCTGCCATAAAAATATCAAGTTTCTAATGTCCAAATCTTCAGAGATTTCTGAAGGCAGAGTCAGTATAATCGTCTCTCACAAATTCATAAGAGCTAGAGCCACCAAATAGCAGTGTTGAAATTAACATTCAATCTTCATCATGCTAATTTTCACTTAAAATTCTGTAATGATCTTAACGCTTAAGATAAAATCCAAAGTTCTTAACACAGCTTACAAGGCTGTATATGGTCTTGCTACTGCAGAGTTCCTTTTCTATGGACATTAACCAAATTACACTATCTTTCTCCCCCCACCCCAAAAAAAAGATGGGGGTTGGTGGGGAGCAGAGGGAGAGGGAGACAGAGAATCTTAAGCAGGTTGCATGCCCACTGCAGAGCCCAGCACTGGGCTTGAGCTCACGACCCCGAAATCATGACCTTAGCCAAAATCGAGAGAGATGCTTAACCATCTGAGCCACCCAGGTGCCTCCAAAACACATATTTAAATAAAAAGACAAATGACAAATGACAAATTTGTTTTAGTGATGAAAAATAAGCAGAAGATAAGAAATAGGTGATGGGGCGCCTGGGTGGCTCAGTGGGTTAAATCCTCTGCCTTCAGTTCAGGTCATGATCCCAGGGTTCTGGGATAGAGCCCCGCATCCGGCTCTCTGCTCAGCGGGGAGCCTGCTTCCTCCTCTCTCTCTCTCTGCCTGTTTCTCTGCCTGCTTGTGATCTCTGTTTGTCAAAAATCTTAAGGAAGGAAAGAAGGAAAGAAAGAAGAAAGAAAGAAAGAAAGGAAGGAAGGAAGAAAGAAAGAAAGAAAGAAAGAAAGAGAAAGAAAGAAAGAAATAGGTGCCAAGAGCGCTTTCATTATATGTGAATTTAAGCATAATTTCCATGTGTTTGAAGGGAATTTATATATACATTTTTTTTTGAAATCTCAACGTGTTTTGTTCATTAGTTAAGTTTTTTGGTCCTTAACCTTTTCGTTTCCAGAATTTTTGTATATTAAAAATATTTTCTTTTTATCTATAACATACCTGTTTTTTTCAACCTTACCAAAATTATTTCTGATTTTCAAACAATTCAATCTTTGGGCTTTGGAGCAAGCTACTTTTTCTGCCTTACGTATGCTCCTTCCACACTTCCTTTGACAAACTTCTACTTAACACATATGTTCTAATTAATTTCTCTTTCTCTAGGAAGCCTTCCTGACCATCTAAGTCTAGACACTTATTTGCACTCTCATAGCATAAAATATGCTATTTTTCATGATTTTTATAATATGGTATGGATATTTGCTGTTGGCTGGCATTCTGGAGTGTGAGATCCATGAGGTTAGAATTCTCCATATCTTTGAACTCCTAGAGCTGCAGTGTCCAAAACAGTAGCTACTAGCCACATGTGGCTACTGAAACATTGGTATGTGGCTAGCCCAAATAGAGAGGCACTCTAATTTGGTTATTTTGTTTTAGACTTATTTTGGTGTTCTTGCAGTTTGGAAGCATATTCTCTACTCAGGATTATGAAATAGAGCTACAAAATTACCATAGATAAAATGATGAAAAGTTTTGTGATTTTTATTTCTATTTAATAATTAAAATGGAATTATAGTAGAATTACATTCTAATGAACAGTTACAGTACTATTTATAATTATGCATACTAGATCTTGAAGACTTAATATGAAAACATGTAAAAAACTCTAACAATTTTCATATTGAATACATATTGAAATGAAAATGCTTTTTGAGACAGTTAATTAATAAGAAATATTATCTAAAATAGTCTTGCCTATTCATTTGTACTCCTTTAAATGTAGCTATTAGAAAACAAAAGTGTACATTCAACTTACATATGTGAAATCTGTATTTATGTTGGAGAGCACTGCTTTAGAACTATCACTGTTTATAAAGTAAATTAATTGAAACCGTATCATCCACTAGTAAGTACATTTTGGAAGAGAATAAAGTTAAAATTAAAGTATGACTAGAGGCAAAATAACTCAACCTCTCGGAGCCCTTAAATTCTTTTTCACACAAACAGAAATATCTTCTATGTAGGATTGTGATGGCCAAATAAGATAATAACTCACATATAGCAACATGGCATAAGTGCTTGATCATATGATACTAACCTTTTTCCTTCTATTCTACTGCATAATCTATTCTGGGATTTTGGAAAAATTCAGTTTTTTGTCACGAGTATGTCTCAGACATTTTTAGTAATTTCAAACACGCTAGCACTATTGCTAGGTGGAATGGCAGACATATTTTTCTCTGAATATGTCCAATGTCAAAATCTCTAATTCTCTGAAATATATAATTTTTTTCAATTACATATAATACCTTTCTTTAGTTGTAGAAAAATTTAATTACGTCAAAATAAAGCTATACCAGGAAACCTGTTTCTATAAGTTTTTAATAGTTAAGTGGATATTTAAGGTATATATGTCCATGAAGATGGTCACTTACTAATTTTTCATGAACTGATGTTAATAATTATGAGAACACAATCATATAATGTACTATTTGAAATACTAGATATGCCACTTAATTTGCACTGTCTTATCAAGTTATACAGTTGTTTTTTCAACATGACCATATCATCCTTGAAGGTGAAGCCAAAATGTATGCCCATTTTTTATTAATGTCTCCCATGGGCACCTACCACAGAACACATCGTAAACATTCAATAAAAATGTTCTAGATTGAATTGCTTATTTAAAAGTTTGGGGGCACCTGGGTGGCTCAGTCAGTTAAGTGGCTGACTCTTGATGTCAACTCAGGTCATGATCTCCAGGTCAGGCTCCCAGTGGGGAGTTTACTTTAGGATTCTCTCTCTCCTTCTGCCCCTCTCGCCTCCCTGCTTTCTCTCTCACACTCTCTCTTTCCCATAAATAAATAAATCTTTATAAAGAAAAAAGGTTGTTACATGAAGGGAATACACTAAGTTGAGTTGCACAGAAAAACAAATCTAATGTTTTTATTAGCTTACTATAATGTATAAGAGAAATGAAAGAAATGGCAACTTGCATATCTGAATATACTATCTGCTATTATCACTACATATTATGTATTGAAAGAAAGATATTTACACACCTGTGTAAGTCTTCCATGTTCTTCTCCCACATCGAACATGTTAGTCCAGATCGGGTTTTGGATAAATTGCCCATGTAATTTTTGCCATTCCCACGATAACAATCTAAACATAAAATATATGAAAAGGACTAGTGAATACAAGGAAGTATAGAACAAAAACATTTATTACAAGCATGCAAATTCATGAAAGTCAACATAAAAGTTGACAACACACTCTGTACAAATCAAAGATACTCAAATATTTCAGATTAAAGTGTCTTTATTTTCAGCCAAATTTCTTCTTCCTTAAATAAGGGTTTATGGATTTCATTACAGATTTTTAAAATAATCAAAGAAAAAATTAATGAGTGGCCCTTAGGGATACCAAAGAAATGGGAATTTTTAGAATGACATATATATTTCCCAACATTTTCTTTGGAAAACTTTTCTCCACAGAAAAGTCACAAGAATGATACAATGAACACTCATATACTCGTCACATTTACTGTGTTTGGGTTTTTTTCTTTCACGAGATTAACATTCTGAGTCACCCAAGCCAGCTGTTTTACAAGTGCCCTTTAATTCCATTTTGTCTGATTATTCTCTCATGATCAAAATCAAGTTAAGGACAGGATTGGGGCATAAAAGATAGATTGTCCTTTTCAGAGCATTTTATCTCTTGACATCTGATATTAGTTTGTTCCATTGTTGGTGGTGAGTTTGATAACTTGGTTAAAGGATGTAAAGGAAAATTGTTGGGACTTCTGAGACTGAGTAAGTATCTTCGTTCCGAAGAAATTTTCATAAAATGGCTTAAGCATACTGTGATTACTTTTGCATGAATTAGTCATTACTAGGCTGGTTTTAAAATAGTTGTTTTTTGGGCATCTGGGTGGCTCAGTGGGTTAAGCCTCTGTCTTTGGCTCAGGTCATGATTTCAGGGTCCTGGGATAGAGCACTGAATTGGGCTCTCTGCTCAGCGGGGAGCCTGCTTCCCCCTCTCTCTCTCTGCCTGCCTCTCTGCCTACTTGTGATCTCTGTCTGTCAAATAAATAAATAAAATCTTTTAAAAAAAGTTGTTTTCCAACTTCCTACATTTCTTTATTGATTATCATTTTTCTGCAAATAAGAGTTTTTCCTTCTCTTCTACTCCTTCCGTGTAAGTATTCTATTACTACCACTGGTGCTCCTGGAGCCACTGCTGCTACTACTACTAATAGTAGTGCCTGCAGTAGAAGTGGGACTATGCACAGAGACTCTTATGGCCTCTTTGTACTTGGCATGAGAAATAATCTATTCCTGTTGCTCATTCTGTTGCTCAAAGTTATTCCAAAGTTAGCTGATGGAAGCCACTTTAAACTCTGACTTCTGTGCCTTTTACTGTGTCCCATGTGGTTTTTTCACTTTTTTTTTAATGAGTAATTTATGTTTTATTAAACATTGATAGAAGTGTCCATATTCCTAATTTTAAAATAACATGAAAAAGAAGTCAAGTTCTTCCAAACATATTGAGTTGCAGTTCTATATTTAAAAAGAAACACTGTTCCAAATTTTAAATTAATAACACATATTTAAAAAGTGACTACCTATTAAACATTCCTGATTTTTATATGACTGAGGACTGTAGATTTGGGCATAAAATGTTATCTACAAATATACATCAAGAGTATTTCTGTTTTAAACTTGGTAAACCGGACTCCTGGGTGGCTCTGTCGATTACACATCTGCCTTTGGCTCAGGCCATGATCCTGGGGTCCTAGGACTGAACCCCACGTCAGGCTCCCCTCTAAAACCCTCAGTTTGTTTTTCAAAGTCCACAGTCTTTCACGGTTCGTCTCCCCCTCCAATTTCCCCCAATTCACTTTTCCTTTCCTTCTCCATGCCCTGTTGTCCTCTATGCCCTTTTATTTGAATAAAGGCTATGATATATATATTTTTTTCCTTCTTAGTAAAGTTTTTATTTTAGACTAGATTTAATTTATAGGAAAGTTGTAAGTTGGTACAGAGAGTTCTCATATACCACACAGTTTTCCCTACTTTTAATATTTAATGATATTAAAATGATAGATTTTTTGTAACTATTGAGCCATACTGATGCATTATTAACCGAAGACAATAGTTTGGCCTTCATGGTCTCAGAAATATCTTTAGTTGTTAACCTAATATCCTTTTTTGTATTCTAGGATTCCACATTTTACATTATATTTAGTTGTCATGTTTGCTAAGGCACTTCTAAATGTTGCAGTTTTTAGACTTGCTTATTTGATGACCTTGTCACTTTTGAGGACAATTGGTCAAGTATATTTTTTTAACATTTTTAAAAAGATTTATTTATTTAAGGAGGCAGGGGCAGAGGGAGAAAAAGAATCTCAAGCAGACTCCCCCAAAGGGCACAAAGACTGACATGGAGCTTGATCCAACTATCTCATGACCTTGAGATCATGACCTGAGCCAAAATCAAGAGAGGGATGTTTAACCAACTGAGCCCCCCAGGCACCCCAGGCAAGTTTGTTTTGTGGGGTTTTTGTTTTGTTTTGTTTTGTTTTGTTTAATGTCCATTGGTTGGGTTTGTCTGATGTTTATCTCATGATTAGATATGGGCTATAGGTGTTTAAGAGGAAGACATGAGGTTTCTTTTAGCACTTCTTTACTCGATAGTTAAAGATATTCCAGCCTCATCTTGTTCTTTTCTTGTCCCAGGCCTCCTGGAATCATCAGTGTCTCCAAGAGACCTTTATTTGTTTTACAGTTGAAAAGTAAGCAGAAGATAAGAAATAGATGCCAAGGGTGCTTTTGTTATATGTGAATTTAAACATAATTTCCATGTGTTTGAAGGGAATTTATATATACTTTTTTTTTTTTTTTTTTTTTTTTTTTTTTTTTTTTTTTTTTTATTTTTTTTATTTTTTTTTTTTTTTTTTCCTTTTTTTTTTAGTTTCCAGAATTTTTATATATTAAAAATATTTTCTTGGGGTGCCTGGGTGGCTTAGTGGGTTAAAGCCTCTGCCTTCGGCTCAGGTCATGATCTCAGGTCCTGGGATCGAGCCCCGCATCGGGCTCTCTGCTCAGTAGGGCACCTGCTTCCCTTCCTCTCTCTCTGCCTGCCTCTCTGCCTACTTGTGATCTCTGTCAAATAAATAAATAAAATCTTAAAAAAATAAAAAAAAAAACATTGGTTTCAACTTTATTTCCAACCAACCTTTAAAATCTGCCAAAGAACAGTGAAATTAACTGAAAAGGGACTCAACCTCTCTTCCCTCTACAACTTTTAACAGTTGCTCATGAAAAATGGCACTGCAGAAAAAGTTAAAGGATGGAAGAAGTATGTATAGAATAATAAATCTATGAAATGGAGCTTTAAATTTGGCTTGGGCTTTTTAGGATGATTTGTGACTAACCATGACCATCATAATTAAATTTATGGCCAAGAATATGATTATTTAAAAATCATAACCCTCAATTCATTATATACTAATAAATGCCCAGATTCCAACATCATCATTAACCTTTGACAAATGATTTCTTTTTTAAACCTATCTCAATCTACTTTTCTCTACTGCTGCTCCCTGAAACAATGATCTTCAATGGCATCTATGTTTCCCAGTACAATGGTGATTTATCCCAAACCCCACTGCTATACATTATCTCCACTGCTGACCCCCAGGTCCACATCACTCTCCTCTCTTTCCTGAATTACTGAAACAGCCACACAATGAATTCTCCTGTTTGGGAGAAGTTGTCAAAAGTTCAAAAATTATGGCTGTTTTCCATAATGCACCCAGAGTCATCCTGTTAAAACTTAAACCAAACAGATCATCTAATTTATCTTTTCGGAACCATACAATAGAGTCCCTTCTCTTTCAGAATAAAAATGTAAATCCTTCCAATTCCTCTAAGGCGTATGCGATTTTAGTCCAACTCTTCTCTAACCACATCCCCTGTGACTCTACCCCTTGCTCTGTACCGGCCACAGTGATGTGACTCTAACCCTTGCTCTGTACCGGCCACAGCGATGTGCTTGCTATCTCTTTACCTTTCAAGCACTGTCCCATCTCATGCCATTTGCATTTGCAAGTTTCCTCTACCTCAAATGCTGTTTACATGCTGCTTCTTCCAGATCCTCCTTAAGTATTCCCTTGGTATGTCAGATCTTCCCCATACCATTAAAATATGAAATAACACCCTGTCCTCTAACCCTGGGGCATTTTTCTCTCTGGCACTTATCACAAACTAACTCATTCCCACTTCTATTTTGCTTGTTTTGTTCCTGTTTTCTGTTTGCTGGAGTTTCTGGCGTTCCACAGGAGTCAGAGAATTTTGTTGTGTTTACTAGTATATCCCCAGTGTCTAAAACAGAGTCTGACACTAGTATAAGCTCAAATAAATAAGTGAGTGTTGAGCAAAAGAATGTATAAAAGAAATGCAACTTCAGACTTGGTGATTTTGTTTGAGAACTAGCAAAACTAGTGCAACAAGAAGTAGGTCTCTCTTGAGGCATTTCCCCTGAATTTAATCGTGCCCACCCTGCAAAATGTCAGCTATTACCTTGTCCACTTGACACATCACATTTTGGAATTTGGGAGCAGTAGCCAACTCGGATGTTTGGATCAGTGGTAAAACACCAGGGTGACTCAGCCCCATCTGGATTTCGGCAATAATTTTCTCTTAGGTCCCTATTGAGAATAAGCATGTTAATGTAAATTGCCAGACTTCTTATAAATGGTAAGTTAGCGCTATTAAATTTCTAGAATCCCAGAATGCATGCATGTTTATAAATAGAGTTCTAAGTTTTAGATTTAGGATAGTTACAACAATTTAGAATTCAGCATACACAACTGACATTGCCCACATTACTGAAATAAAGGCTGTCAGATGTCAGTATTCTCTTCATTGCACAGGCCTGGAGTTCCACACAAACACTATTGCTTCATGAAAGGGAAAAAATAGTACCACTTCATTTTTCTCACTCATTCTCAACACTCAGACTCTCAACTATTACAATTTTTAAAAACTGGCCTATTATTTATTATGTTTTCACGGCCCATATATAATGTAGAAACAACATCTATCTCTCTTTGCTGAAGAAAGGCTATTATGAATAACTGTTAACTATTCTCATTTAAAAATGGGAGTTCTACTTATCCAACATTTGATACAAAAAACCACAATAGCTATTTCTTCCTTGAATTCTGTACTTTTTTTTTACTTAATTTGCTGCATAGATTTCTCTGCCTTACAAAGTATTTCTTTATTGATTCACAAAAGTTATTTGAAATCTTTATAAATATTTCTATAAAATGAAGGCCTTTATAATACAGAAAACTTAACTGTAGAATAAATTGTCAATGTAGTAAATGTACATCCTTTATTTTAGCAGTGATTTAATTAACACTGAAACTTTTCAACAAGGAAAGAGTCTATACTAATATTCTCTATATGTAAAAGAATTTTACCTTAACATAGGGTTCACATTAAATAAAATGTGAACTTCATTATTTACTCTTCTGAAAAGTGTTCTTTAATTTGAAACAAGCGTGGGTTTTCTCCTCATAGACCCCTGCCTAGTAATTTAACAAAATCAATATTCAATATATTAGAAACTGCCTTATATATATCACTTAGGTCCAATAAGAAGTACTACAATTTTATTAATACCCAAGTTCACCATTAGAAATGGAGAAATTTTTTAAGGAAGAAACTTGGGTTTTGCTGTAAAATCAACAAGTTAAGAGGTTATCTAGTCAAAATAGGTGCTGACACAAACTGTGTTATTTAAGATTATGAGAACAGTGATTGCCAATAGTTACAGCCACTGGACAGCAAGTGTTCATAGTAACAACTCATATTAAAGTCATTAGTTTTCTTATAAAATTATTAAATTATTACGATAAAGATAATCTTTTATTTCAATTAACTAATTTGCACTTACATTTTAAAAATTTATGATGGTATAAAATATGTGCATTGAGTTTTACATCAAGTTTACACAAGTTTGCTATTTTAGATGAATAATTGCTTAGTTAAATTCTCTTGAAAATTTGTACATATACAATTTCTTACTTGAGTATTATTACCAGTCATTAGAAATTAACAAAATATGTGAATGGCACTGACACTGTCTTCTCTGTTTGTCTTAACTAATCTTTTGTCATTTTCTTTGCTTTCTCTACTTTGGTATTTATGTCTGAGGTGTGAAACACATGGGTCAGGAACAGAGAGAACTGCTATGAAGAATAGGAGGGAAGCAAACTTACAATGACAAGTAAATAGTTGTTATTATAAAATAATGAAAATATAATAACGTGAATATTTACTATCTGAGCAAATACATTGAACTGGCTAAAACAAACAAACAAAAAACACTTATAAAATATCCTCTCTCCAGTGGATAGGCCAACTAGTGCTCATACTTCCCCATCTTGAAATGTTAAGCTCTCTTATTAAAAGCCAATTATATAAAGCCAATATATGTTATTTATAGGTGCTATTTCAGCAAAGCCACTATGAATGGCACGTGTGTTATAAGTTTCAAAAGCAATCATTTTATGTTCCTCATAACAAGGCGGACAATTTAAAAACACATGGCATCGTGGCTGTTCTGTGTAGCAAAAGTCAAGTGGTGAAAAAAAACAGCCACAGAGAAGGTACATAACAGCAATATAATTGATATTCAAGGGCAGTTTCTTTGGCTTGATTCATCTAAACAATTGGTTTACTTTCCCACTCTTCAAAGGAAATCTGAAACAGCAGAAAACATATTTAAAATTTTAAAAAATAATATTACTTCAAGGTCAAAAATGTATCAGTTTACATTGTTGAGTGAAATCAAGGATGCCTCTTCTTGTGAAAGAAAAAGTATGTAATTTCCCTTAAAATTAATGTGAAATATTAAGAAGGCACTAATTTGAAACTTGCCTGGTTATCATTACCATTAATGATTTATGAAAGGCACCAGCAAAATCAAAGCTGTGATCAGAAAACTGGGGATGTGTTTCCCAAAATACAGTACATCAACCATCTGATTCAAAATTACCTAGAGTGTTCATTAAAATGGATATTTGGCCTCAGACCTAAGGAATCAAAATATCTGAGTGGATGAATCTGCCTTTTAACTCAATTGTCCCTAGACACACTACAGTTTAAGAATTACTAACACCGAAATTCATTGAGTAATCATTCCACCTCATTTCCTGCAGAGTCTACTGAAATGTATATGTGCCTAATATACTCACTTGCACTTGAAATTTTCAGGAGTTATGTCATGCTGGTGAGGATACTGGGAATCCCAACGCTGACATGGAATTCCATTCCAAATAGTACTGATGGTGCCCCGGTAGCCTTCTCCTTGACCTTGAATGCATTCAGTTGTTTCCATAGGGACATCTGTGTCATTCATAGTACCATGAGCTATTGGTAAGAAGAAATATTAAACTTGAGTAAAATCTTTTAATCTGTCATTTACCTCTTAGTTTTAATTTGCATATGTATTACTAGAGTTTTCTGTCACACAGGTTTTTATAAAAATTGAGGAGAATTAAAATTCAAGTTATCATTATTGCTATCTCACTCAACCTAAAGGAATGAGTTACTATGGTGGACTCAACTATAGGATTTCTCTGCTCATGAGATAGAATGTTCTAGCTTGGCTTGACATAGACTAGTTTGAAAGAACATCATATGATAGCACTTAAATTTCCTAGATCTATCCACTCATTGATTAATATTAGATGTAAAATCTTTCTATTTATTAATGTTTTTCAAATGTGTTTTTTAATCACTTTTCTTACTTTAGAAATTGAAAAACATCTATTAAGTAATATAGTGACCACATAGGGAGATTAAAAGGTGCTATGTTGGGGCATCTGGGTGGCTCAGTCACTTAAACATCTTCCTTTGGCTCAGATCACAATTCCAGGGGCCTGGGATGGAGCCCCATATCAGGTTCCCTGGTCAGCGAGAAGTCTCCTTCTCCCTCTGCTCCTTCCCCTGCTCATGTTCTCTCTCTCTTTCTCTCTCAAATAAATAGATAAAATCTTTTAAGAAATTTAAAAAAATAAATAGAAAGCACTATGCTATATGTTTGGCCATAAAAAAGTGAGAAAGGGAAAATTTGACTAGAGAACAGTTATTTTTTAAATCAATTTATCATTATTACCATCCCCATTCCAATTTTCTTTTCATTCAAACACTAAAATAGTATATTTTTTGAAAAAATTCTTTAAAGGCATTTTACTTCCGTGTGGCACTATAACTAATATATGCTAAAGAGACAGTATTTCTTTTTGCATTTTAAGGTTATTTATTTATTTATTTACTAGAGAGAGAGAGAGAGAGAGAGAGTGCTGGGGGGGTGGGGAGAAGGGACAGAGTGGGAAGCAGGCTCCCTGCTGAGCAATGAGTCTGATGTGGAACTTGATTCCAGGACCCTGGGTTCATGGCCTGAGCTGAAGGCAGACACTTAACTGACTGAGCCACCCAGGTGTCCCTAGACAGTATTTCTGAAATGACTCTATAGTTAATCCTAATGAGTTTGTTTAAATGCATATAAAAGTTGGTAATGGTATTATCCATGATTTTCCTCTAGTATGATAAATATATTCTAAGCTGGTGTCTTAATTTTTTAATCAATTTTTTAGTATTAAAAGAAATCAGCTATTCCTAGGCAGAATTATCTCCTGTTTTTTTTTTCCTAGTCCAAATACAATTCTTACCACATTTCATGCAGATCAAAAAATCTCCATAACAAAGTAAGAAAAAGTACAAACTTAAAATTTTACTACAACTTGGACTTTCTCTTTAGTCTTTAATGTTTATCCAAACAAAAGGTAACTGAAAACTTTCTAGAGCAACTAAAATTCATACACTTTCTCAAAACATACATAAAAATATTTATGATTCAATAAAGTCAATGTAAACTCCCCAGTTACCTTTACAATCTAAATGGTCATTAAAGATATCCCTGGATAAAACTCAAACTGACATACTCTAATACAATTTAGGATTTGAATAAATGCCTTTGATTCATCCATTCTGGAATTATATGTATCATTTCCCAAAAGAAGTCAGAATTAGACATGCCTTCAGAGGCTAGGGATGTCTATAAAAGTGTTCCATATTTAATAGTGTAAGTTCTTTTTAAATGGATCCTCAATTTCATTTAAATGTATTTCTTTCTGGAGTGCGTGGCTGGCTCAGTTGGTTAAGTATCGAACTTTGATTTTCATTCAGGTCATGGAATTGAGCCCCACGTGGGACTCCATGTGCAGTGGGGAGTCTTCTTGAGATTCTCTCTCCCTCTCCCTTTGCCCTTCCTTCTGCTCACATATGCTCTCTTTCTAAAATAGATAAATCTTTAAAATTAATGAATGAATGATTAATAAATTAATTAATTAATACATAAATACATACATACATAAATTTCTTACAAATAACTACTCTTTATGGCACTTACTGTTTTATTTCATTCAACTCCATGCAAACTAAGTGGAACCTAAGTTTGGAGTTATTCTATGAAACTTACTGAAAAAGAAGGAAGATTAATTAATGACCATGTCAACCACTGGAATATGTTGTATAAACGGATTTCCATATGTTGCCCTTAAAATAACTTTTCTTCAGTTCCATTTAAAATATATTTTTATCTTATATATCTACTGCAGGCAATGAAAATTTGGCCCAGAAATACCCTAAATTAAAAGGAACTTCAAATGGAGATAAGCAAAATGTCCAGAGAGTGATCCACAGAGTGGTCATTGACAGTTGATTTCTGAGAGTTAATATATACTGATATTGGTAACATATCAATTCAGGAAGAACAAAATTTATTGGCCTGAAGAAACGACTTGTATAGAAAAACTTAGTGCTAGTTAATCAAGTCCTTTATTATTTTAATATTTAAGTTCTTAGATTAGGGGCTTCTGAGTGGCCCAATTTCTTAAACATCTGCCTTCGGCTTAGGTCATGATCCCAGAGTACTGGGATCAAGTCCCACAGCCTCTCCCTCTCCCTTTGCCCCTCCCCCTGCTCATGCTCTCTCTCTCTGTCTCTCTCTCTCAAAAAAATACGTAAAATCTGTAGAAAAATAAAATAAAGTTCTTAAATGAAACAGAAAGTAAGATAGATTATACAGGTCCTCAGGAACTATATTTTATCAAAACAAATGCCACCAAACTACTATATTTCTGATGATTTAAGTTAACTGTTAAATGATTTGAAGATACTGGGTGTATGTGGAGGGGAGCATCTTTAAAGGGTGATAACTTTAAAACAGTTAAGAGATCAAACTTGTACTGACCTATTTCATATCTAGTTACAAAACTATGATGTAGAAAAGACAAAAACAAATGTCTTCAGCAACATATCAATTCATTACCTTAACATTTTAAGAAGTAAAGTTTATTCCCCCACTTCTGGGGCACAAGTTCCTGGGAAGCAAACTGAGTTAGAATTTAGAACCCAGACAAAGGGAGGAAGGTCAGAGTTATGGCAGCCAGAACAAAAGTACTTTAGTTAATCTTCTTAGGGACTACTTTTCTGTCTTGGGTACTTCTACTGTCTCACTTTCCTGTGTATTTGTGTGCATTTGGTTTTATATGTTTATTACTGACATATTTTTCTCAACTATTACTGTGACATTGTGAACATATAATCTAAAAACCCAGTCTTGGTGAGTTTCAGGGTCAATCAGGGCAGCCTTTGGCTAGATGTGGGTCCATCACATCTCACCGAGAACATAGCTAGAGGCTGAGCCCATGAAAGATTAACATGTTCTGCTCTTTGGACACTACAATGTCAATTTAAGATTAAAAATCAGATATTATTTCTAGAATTGTTTTTATACAAGAGTAATTGGATTTACAAAGTATTTTTTCATAAATATCTTTATTAAGGCAACATTTTATAGAAATAACCCATGATAATTAAAATTTGAAACACAGAGCCTTAAACTCAAAACAATTTAATTGCATTTTTTAAAATAAAAGGACAGATAATAAACAAATATTATCATAATTCATGAAGAAATCAATACCTAGGAAATTCGGTGACTAATCACATGTTCATCAGAAAATTTGAAGAGGAATCATAAAATTTTAAGGCTAGTAGAAAGTGAACATTTTCCTAATTTGATGTAGAAGTTTTCAAATTTTAGGAGTATCTGTGAAAAGTAATATCTATATTACAAAGTAATATCTATATTATAAAACCCTATGTAAAAAAAAACTTGAATAAAAATATTGACGAAAATATTTCACTATTGATTCATCCACTAAAATTCCAGTGTCAAGTTCAGAGACCTACCTGTTGATACTAACTTTGCACCTCAACTACAGAGGTCCCCAACAAGTTTCAATTGAAGATTTTTTCACTGCAATCATAAAATCATCATTTGGACAATTTTGTTGAACAGTTTTTTTCTTGAATTTCATTAGTATAATTTAAAATCTTTGATATAAATTTAAGGAATCACTAAATACTCACTTAAAGACAGTGTAAGTTAAAATGAATAAATAAAAACACAAGCTTGGATTTGTTTTAAATAATTGGATTATTTAATAGATTCTAATCTTTTGGTGGAAACTTGAACCTTTTGAAATTATAGAAATTACACAATACAAAGAATTACTGCACATTAATAAAAATAGAGCATAGTACAGAATAAATAGAACTTTTTATTAGACCTTGCTATAGGCTGAATGCTTGTGTCTCCCCCAAATTCATACCTTGAAATCCTGTTACTGGACAAGAGTAATTGAATTAATGTGATGGTATTAGGATGTAGGGCTTTTGGTGGGTGATTAGATTATGAAGGCAGATTGTTAATGAATGGGATCAGTGCATGTATAAAAAAGATACCACAGAACTCCCTCACCCTTCCACCATATGAGGAATCTCCTGGCACCTTGGTCTTTGATTTCTCAGCCCTCAGAACTCTCAGAAATAAATATCTGTTGTTTAGAAGCCTCCTGGCCCTTGGTGTTCTGTTACGCAGCCCAAAACAGGCCTCAACAAAATATTTTAAAAATCTAATTAGTAATATTCTTTTTTAACTTTTATTTTAATAAGCATCCATAACTTTGAAATATATAACCTCAAAGAACTTGATGTTTTAATTCATTGGAAATATTCCTTATGATTTTAACTATGAACTAGCAGTACTGAGATAATATTTTTCATTAACTAAAAAGTGCCCTCTGAAGTTAGCATGTCTGTATTTATCCCATTTGACACTCAGCTCCTAGAAGTGACCTCATAAACAAAAACTGCATGATTTCTGGTGGCAATTATAGAATAAAATGAAAAACTTCATTATATTATTTGAATATATTATCTGATGAGGATCATGTGAATGATTTTTCATAGACCATTTACCTGTGATGCAAATGTTTCAACTCTGTTCCCTACATAGG